ACAAAATAATAATAATCACTTTATTCAAAACAACAATAATCATAGGAAATGGAATTGTCATCATTGTACATATTGTAACAATTTATCTCCTTTTACAAATAAATACAAAAGTAAAAATAGTAAAATTGTAAAAACAGAAGAATACAAGTATTAATAATGCTGGTAATGAGTTGCTTTTTATCTACAGATTATAAAGTAAGTTTATAAGGTCCTTTATCTTTCCACACAACATCCGTAGTAAATACGGGATCGTTTGATTTTTATATTTAGCCGTGAGAGCTTCCATTCTACTGATCCTATATAAGTAGATACAAGCAGAAAGTGGCAAATAAAGAGGATGTTCTGCATCCGACAAAATGACTTCAGCTAACTCTGCTTGCAAGAATTATAGAATGCCTATCAACAACAATTTCAGTTAGTTGAATTAAAGGCACACCACAAAGCCTGCTTACAGCCTTCAAAGTTCTATGTAATATGACAAAACAATTTTCGAGAAGCTCACGGAAGGAACAATGGAGAACAGGTAGAATATATGGATTAATAAATTGTAGAAGAAGAGGTTCAGTTTCTTAGAAACCAACAAAGATATGGGCGAACAACAAAGATTTGAATGGAAAGGGATACCAAGATGGGTAAAATTCGATTTATTTCCTGCTACAGTGTCGTCAATAATAACAAGAACCATGGGAGTGAATCAGTTCGAGCAAATTCTTGTTCCCGCCTGAAAGTAAAACTAAACAATCTGACATTTAGACAGATCCATTTTGAGACCATTGGTTAACCTCAGATAGGAAACTACTTATATCAGAACAATCTAATGCAGAAACGACTGCAACCGAAATTGTCACACTATCAGGATATTTAATGAAGTTGGCTTTAAAAGTATGCGGCAAGTCATGTGAGAAGAGAGAAAATAGAAAATGAGGCAGTAATAGAATCTTTAGGCACACCAGCCTCCATAAACAAAGAAGTGGAATGCTTCCCATTACAAAACAGTTCGTTGTTTCCTGATCTAAAAACAAGAAGAGACAGCCACCCTGTGACCCGAGACTAAGTACGTGGTAAAATCAGCTTGCTTAGAATCAAACGCAGTCATGCAGTCTAAAAAATAAACTGGAGAAAATTCGCACCTTTATCTAGGCTGAAAACAATAGTTTAGTGCAGTACAACAGTGGCATCTAGGGTACTTTTACTGCAATTATGAGAAAAATAGCTTGGGGTTATTGAAAGATATGGATGAGTGTTTAAGAATAAGCAAGTTTTTCCATAGTTCCCGGAAATAGGAACATGATGGCGATTGGCTTAAACTTCACTTCTGATTCCGATGATGACTTTGGTACAGGTGCAAACTTTAAATCTTTTACATCGTGTAGGTTATGTTTGAGTATCAAGCATTTTACTACAAAGTGGAGATTATTTACACTATTTTTAAACGCATCGTTTCACAGGGACACAGCACCTGTTGTAAGAATAAGATTTGAGTAGAGCTAATACATCCTTTCCATAAAAATCTGGGAAATAACCATTTGTTTGACTAAAGACATCTGGTAGAATCATATTAACTTGTTACTTCAGAATAGATAGTTTCATCGAATGGGCATCAGAACAGGCTTCAATAGAAATCTCTTGGCCAGTTACTTCAGGAAGTAGTTTCCAGATGCTGGAAGCATTTTTATATGATAAAAACCTTTCATTATATATTACACTTAGTCTCTGTATTTTCGACTTTATTAGACTTCATTTTTCTAACAACAGGATTATCGTATGATTCATACAAATTATCTTTTTCTCTTAAATGTTTTAGTTGCAGAAAAAAAATCCTATCAAATCTCGTCAACAGTGTTCAGTGAACCGCCAATGTCCTAGCAGAAATTGGGATAGCTGATAGCATCAGATACAATATCATTCAACACTGTGTCGATAATTATGTCCCAATCAGTATCCTACAACAGGTATTCAAGTGAATGAGTATTAACATGTGAATAAGACCGTTCTTTGTGGTGAATAAACACCTCTTTTGTTTAATCTGCACATACTTTCGGTAAAACACGAATAATGCAATGGTTAGTATTTATCAAGAGGGCTCCCATATAGTGCTTCACAATCACTTTCAGTATACTCACATACGGCTGCGTGATATACTTCTCCAACACTCAATTCACCGTCAAACAGTGCCACAGTACCTCTTAGCCGATGGTTCTGAATGCTGTCTTCAAGTCAAGAAATACGCCGTGTTGGGAACCAGAATCTGCCGAAGGGTGTAGGCATGATTGATATAGCCTCTTCCTGACCTACATCTTGGCTGGTTTTTCCTAGCTATACCCAGCTTATGTATGATTACTGAACCTAGAACCTTAGCCATTGTCAATCAGTTTGAACGAATCAGCAAAAATCCAATGATACTAAACTTTTTTTTTTTTACAGCTTGATTCCATACCGTATTTTCAGTACAAGTATGGAATTTTCAGCGTGGATATCGGTAGACCAATTCAACCGACCACAGATATCGGGTGTGCGCCGGCAGGGGATCGAACCCCGGACCATGTGCATGGTCGGCGAGAGTCCTAACCGCTGTGCCACCGACGCACTATAGTTTTAGGTAATCAACATCCTTTACCACTGTTTCTACAGTTAACTGGTTTCAATGATGATACGTCTACAGGGGTACGATTTTACCACTCGACATATTCCAGAGGGACAGAGTATGATATCTAGTTACTTTTCAGATTCGATAGTAAAGCTGAATTATCAGGGATAGCATAAGGGGTAAACACCCTACAGCAAGATCCATCAGAACTCGCTCATCGCCAGAAATGTAAGCCTACTACCATGCGGAGTAAAAGTAATTGCTTTCGGAGTACTAATTCGGAATCGAATCATAGAAACTAGGTAACGGTGATTCCAACAATCGCAACAAAATACGACCTCGTGACTTGAAATGTGTGCTGATAAAGCAACGTATGTCGTCAACTGTCCGTAATGCCAATTAATGAAGGGTGATCGCTGAAACCCGTCACAAGAGCATTCGACTTCAGTAACATCAGCTGATGACATATGGGCAGCGGATATAGTAGCAAGTTGTGTACTGTGATGGAATCGTTACATCCATTTGATTGATTGATTTATAAATACCGTGTACGAAGGAAGTGACAGAAAATAAAAACAGTTGATCGCACAAATGAAGTTATCAATCGAGTTGGTGTGATAAATAATACAATTCTGAAATAACACAATCGAGCCCAACCAGTGGTTAAATACAAAAATTTACTGAAGGATTACAGATTAACAAGGAAAAAAGGGTTTAGGGACAGAACTTATAAGGTGAATTTAGAGGCTTCCTATCAGGGATAGGGTTTCTTGCGGTTTTCGTCTAGTCATATTCGTCTTACCCCGATATACTGCCGTTTCCAAACAGCTAAAATTGCTAGTATACTTAATCGCCAAATATCACATCAAATTCAGTATACGTTTCACGAGTAATATCAAAGCCTATCTTGACTTTTTGTAGCACGCACCAGGTTGTCATTCAAATTCACTAATGTATGTGTATAAGGCTAAATATCCCTAACAATTTTCCCCCACACATTTGATCAGCAACGACAAACCACTCCCCCACAACATGTTAAACCTGTTACAATTCCTTTAAAACACTTCCATTGTTTGTTTATACAAACCTGGGGCTAGGCAATAACATTCCACAAAATCTAACTAGGCTTTAAATATTTGAACCAAGGCAGTTAGAATGTAGTTAGCTAAGACAGATTCGCCATGCTACAAAGCACTCCAATTGTGAAGGCTTTTGATACTGCCCAGTGGTATAGGTTGAATTAAGTAGGGTAAGATTTGAACACGAAGATTAACTATAATTCCGGTATAAGACAATGTGGTGCAATGAAGTATCTTCAACTCTAGGGGAGCCAACGGGTCCAGTGATCAGTCCACACCCAGCCTACTGTGATTTGGTTACTCTATAGGTCCCTACAGTGTGACTCATCATCGTGAGAAAGGAAATTCGGTACCGGTTTTGATTAACTTAAGTGAATCAATTTGGTCGACCACATAATATAAATTCATATAGTAGCCGTAAGTACTGCCACTCCCATCTACCTCTACTGTTATGAACATGTCATTTGACACCGACTACTATTAGTACAAGCTCCTAATGATCGCCGAACATTTCTAAATGTCAAACTGACGTATGTACAGAGCATAAACACTGGCAATGTTATTCTGTAACATACACTTATTTCCCTTGATTAAGACATCATGCTTCCTAACCACGTGGTATTAATATCCACTACTGTTAAAATTAGTAAAAAAAAATTTGGTAGTGATATTAAACTGTCCAAGGTTGCAGGCAGCTGGTGAGAGCCATCGAAATATAATGACGTCACTCTACCGCGCTCAGTATATTCCTAAAATGCCTTTTTTCATTTGATACATCAGCGAAAGTCATTTACTGGATGGTGTTCCAATTATAAATTGTTCACACTTATATAACAATTGATAAAACTGAGCAATAAGTTCTATTCGGAACAAAACCAAGCAGATTTTAATATTTTACTGTAATATGTCTAATAAGTATACCGACTATGAATGAAGTATATCTTGGAAATGCAACCCCAGTACGAGTTCTTTGAAGGAGCATAGGGATGCGACTACTCGTGACACCTTCCTGCATGTGAAGCTCAACAGCTTCAAGTGTCCCAACCAGAGCCATAGGTTTACATGCACAAGAATACATTACACACCAAGATGGGTTAACATCAAAAAGCTCCTTTACCACTCAAGAACGCATTATGGCAGTAGGCTTTAAGCTCTCGCCTAAATTGAAGACGTCAGAGTCATACCAGTCCCAACCGATAACCCAGTTCGTGTAGAAGTGAAGGACCTACACATTGGTCGCCATTCCTGACTACCCACGGTACTGGATGAATCCAAAGCATAAACATAAAAAATATGATTCTGACAAGTAACCATACTTATATTAGATGAAACAATCAATTCTCTTCTTCGTCATCAGAGTCTTCATTCTCGAAGTTGTAGAATCGTAACTCATAGGAGTCTTTTGATTTGGCTACTACTCGCAGGAAGTCACGAAGCTTATGACGTTTCAAGAACTTCTTTGTCAAGTACTTCAAATATCTAAGGACTAACATAAGCAACTACATGAAGACGTACCTTTTAGAGAATGGAATGTTAGATGTAACATTTATGGTGGACTTGTCTCGATCAATGTGAACATCCTTACCCAAATTGTTCAACTTTTTATTCACTTTAATATGCTCCTTCAAGTATTTTTCCTAAAGAGAAATGTATGTTACGGTGATAAGCAATACGTACGAGTAAAGCTGGGCTTATGATATCTTCATCGATAACTCCAGGTGAGCTACAAATACTATACTTCACAGCCTGCTTCTTTTTTGAAGGAGTTTTCTGGGTCTTTGGCTTGGGAACAGTCTTGCAAATAAACGTAGTTAAGACCAAAATAATACCTTTGAGACAACCATGCTGAAAACCTTAACAGCCCGCCTCGCGAAGTGAGCAAATACTGCCGCCAATCCCTACGGTGCAAATGTCCAATGGTAGACAAAAGTGTGTCGACCAATATATTTGTTTTTGGTGGAGATTTTGTGCTAATACCGTTTTTTCGAGAATTATTCTGGGATCTTCTCTTTAGATACTACAAACAAATAGTAGTTCAGGGTGATCGAACTATGTCATGGTAACTCCAATACTTTTTAGACCGTTCATTAAGGAAACATATGCCCTTAAAAAAAT